TGTTGTAATGTGTTGATCTTAAGTTAAACTAAGATGTAACACTGAATTAATTGACAATTTATACTTTATACTTTAAAAAACACTCAAATGAAAAGGGGACATTTTTGACCCCTGAGCACCACAGGTGTATGGAAATCGGGAGGACATTATGAGGACTCTTGCACAGAAAATCACAGCAATTAATTTTTTTTTAATTAATTGTGGGCATTTATTTATGTTGTGTGTTGTATTAATTATTTTGTCCCATTTCCCCTTTCCCCCATTTATTCAATATATTTTTGGTACAAGATTTTGCAGTCTTTGGTCTCATCATTCACACCATCTAGGCTCTATAAAGAACTATTTCTTCTGCGTGTCAGTCAGTAAACTTGCCCATTGCAATAAAACTAGCCCTTAAATAACTTTGCGTTACACAAGTCATAATGCATTTTTCGTCTTTCAAACACCTTTCAAATGTTTGCCTTGTTTTGCAGATGAGGACTCCCTGGGAGATGTTTCACATTTTGAATCTGCAAATAAAGCCAAGCATTTCCCCTTAAAGAAGCCAGCTGGTGCAATTTTGAGGAAGGCAGTGCTTGAGGACACGGTTTACAAAGATTACACTGCTGATGTGAATGGCTGGGATAACTTCTACCTTCCAAAGACTGTAAACATGCAAGTTGTTGCCGTGGTGTAGGGCATCTCATGTCCATGTGACCAGCTCATTCTGATGACCTTTGAGGACCAACAGGTGTACGCCTGTGATGAAGAGGAGCTTCATCTGGTGGCTTCAAGCTTCAAACAGCTATTCGATGAGGGAATGGAGTATCCAGCATCCAAAACCTACTACAAGAGGGAGGCTTTTAAAAATATGGTGAGAAATTACATTTCTTTGCTGGCAATAAACAAGCTTTTATGGTTGATTATCCGCATTACTCTTTAAACTTTCTTGTCTTTGGTTTTTGTATTTTTTATTTATTTATTTTTTGTCTGTGTTTAGACCAAGAAGGACTGGGAACAAGTGTGGAAGAGCCCTGCGGGGAGGAGGTTGGATGAAGAGCATAAAAACTTGTGGCAACAACAAAGCCCAGATTACTGGACATCATGAAACGCAATCAGATACTTAAATGCTGTTGATTTTGTTTTATTTAACCCTGTCATGATTAGGGGTTCCTACAGAGAACAGCAACTCTGCTTTAGATTGTGATGGCCTTCAGGATAGTGGAGCATTTACAATCTGAGTCAAGTGAGTCAGTGCTGATGAAGGACTGCCAGAAACCTGTATACATTCCAAAATGGAGAAGAAAAACTAAACCAGAAAACAGAAGAACTTAAAATTTTCCTGGGATATGGTCAAGTCACATGTCAGACATCCATGATCAAGAATGTGCTGGTCATCACAGGCAGGTCTTCATCTTAGAAAGTCAACATGTCACAGGTCAGGAGCTGGTTCATTTCTCTGAAGAGTATTAGAATAAGTTAAAATGTGAGAAAACATCAGATTTACAGCATCAAAACTTTTTTTTTATTTTTATTTTGCAATTTCCACACAATATATAACTTTCTGTTATTTTCTTTTGGACATGTTTGCAATTCCATGAAAAATAAGTTCATATACAATATTGCAGTTGCATTGTTTTTTCCATGCCAGAAGATGAATAAAAACCTTCAGGAAAACAAAATCTTGACTGAGGTTCTTATATTTCATTTATGAAAAGGTGCTCTGCTGTACACTGCTGGCTAGTAAGACAAAAATGTAATGTATTGTGGGATACACCCAGTCAAACTGTTATATATTTATTTATTTTTTTTTAAACTAAAGTAGACCCTCTTTCAGTTCTACAATTTTACCTATCAGGACTTGAAAATAAATATTCTGGCCCTTAGTAGTTCTTCAAATTAGTAAATCCAACATGAAAAACTAAACATTACATTTTACATCTGTCATTAATTATTCAACAAAAAATAAGCCAAAGCATTGTGTAATAAATAAATTAATAAAAAATAAAAAAAACTAAGCACACCTAAGAATGTAAATCATATGCACCTGATTCAATGATCATCAGTAATGGTGACTTCCTCTATAAAAGCAGGTATGGAGCATTCTAGTTAAAAGAATCCCTGAAAATTCACTAGAAAAAGGTCAGACTGTGCAAACCTAAGAAACTGCAAAACACTGAAGAGCTACATCTCAGCATGTTAAAAGTTAAAGTTCATGAAATTGGCATTGGACAAACGATTGTAATATTTTCATACTTGTTCAAAGGGTTGTTATGGCCCCTGACCTTGGACAACACGTTCTCACTCCCAACTTGTCAAATGTATGATGCATGGTCAGGCTCCCTCTGCTCCCTCTGCAGGGTACCCCCCTCGCGTCGAGAATTGACGTGCAGGGTCCTCTCATTGAATACTATAGAGCTCCCTAAACGTTGCTTATTGACGACAAGAGATTGCCACGGAAGAGCCTGTTGTCCGTATATTTATATATTATATAATCACATTGTAGTGACGTATACAGAACACAGTAAATTATATAATGTAAACAACTACCTGAGAAACAGCAGATAAATTAATTATAGGCTATTACTTTTGTATCGTTTATTGCATTTATGGAGGGAGTGGTGTATGCTGGGTAATGGCACAGCTAG